GCCCGTTCCATTCCGGGCTCCAAGCCCTGGGACCTGCCGCGGCGTGGCGAGTCGTACCTGGCTGCTGGGTGGGCAGTGGAGTCTGCGGGACTGAAAGCTCAGGGCAGTACGGCAGCCCTGGTACTCTTGGCATCGCCAGTGCTGCCAGAGGTCATTCGGAAATCTGGGCAAACGGTCAAAAACATGGAAGCTGAGGAAATACTTGGAAGTGTAGGTTTTCAAAATATGCCCGGGATTGAGGCTGACTAAATTTTGTCGGGATATTGCTTCTCATTTATTCATTCTGCTATTCAAAGGAATAGAAGAAAGTCTCTAGGATGATTTGCCTTTTATTGACTTTCAATTGTCTAATTTGTTTTCGTTCCTGTATTAATTAGAATTAATGTATTTACATTTAGCTTCCGGTAGAGTGAAGTTATGTTAATTAATTGACTGTGAGGCTGATGAGAAAACAGGAGCATCAAGTGATGGCAGCTGCTGGGAGTGAGAAGTAGCTTCCCTGGGAAGCCAGTTTGTGAAGGGATAAGAATTTTGCACAGAATCCATTTATTGACTATTACAGGATGTGTTACCTGCTCAGGTTTCATGTCCTTCGGTTAAAACGTGGCATGTTTTGGAATTAATGTTTATTACTGTGTCTTAGTAAAATTCAGGTTTAAGAGATAGAGGAGTAGGGTTGGTATATGTGTTTGGCATAAGCTTTTTGTTCAAATAAAGGTCTACACAAAACAGTCTTTCTTATATTTCATCTACTTTTGCTTGAACAAGCTACATGTATATGTTAAATTAGACATAAAATAAGTGTGCATATTAAAATACATGATTTGGCTTTGGTATATCTGTGTGTGATTTTCCATACACATTTTTTTGGCAGAAAATGCATTCAGCATTTTCATTAGTTTTTGGTGGAATCTGTCTCTATTCTTCCTACATTATTCTTGACAGAATGGAATCCATTGTTGGTAATAACCTTGCTAAAAGCCCAGTATAACTGCCAGCAATTGCCATGGAGCAGCCCCCCAAGTGGAAATTTAATAGTCATGTAAATAAAATGATAAAGTTAGAAACATTAATTTCTTTTGACATATAATGCTCAACACATCACTGTGCCAAGGACAAGACTTAAAAAAATATGTCTCATTCTCTCTTTGTCATTTCAGTTGGACGCATTGTCTTTGAATTATTTGCTGACATTGTACCTAAAACTGCTGAGAATTTCCGTGCGTTATGTACAGGAGAAAAAGGAACAGGGCCTACCACTGGAAAACCTCTCCATTATAAAGGATGTCCTTTCCACAGGAGTAAGTTCTATGAAGCCCTCTGTTTTCCTATCGGTAACAAGTTATCTACCATGAGTATTTGAAATAGTGTTAAATAATATTTCAAGGACTTGTTTAAGAAATAACTTGACTGAAAGTTTTTGACTTTTTGATCCTCCTAATGGCTAGATGTTCTTACCCTGCACTGACAATAGTAAATTATAAATTTACCAATAAGTTAGTAATAGTAAAACTAGTTTATTCTGAGTTGTAAACAGGTTGAAATGAATTTCAGGTAAAGGTTGAAATATCAAGTGATATCCACAAAATTGAAGGAGTACTTAGTGGACACTTGATAAATAAATAAAAGGTGGGTTTTGGGCTTTTTTAGGTGCTGGTGACAAGGATTGCTCTTCATCTCTGAATTGTTTCTCTTCGTGCCTTCCCTGCCTTGGTGATACATTTTATATTTATTTTATTTTACAGTTATTAAGCAGTTTATGGTCCAGGGTGGAGATTTCTCAAACCAAAATGGCACAGGTGGAGAAAGTATATATGGTGAAAAATTTGAAGATGAAAACTTTCATTATAAGGTACTCTATTGAAAATATTATTGTATTCAGTTGGTGAAGTTTTATTTTTCTTCAAGGTCAGAATTAGTGCTTTTTAGTCCAAATTTAGTGTATTTTTAAGCAATGGAAAGAATGCAGCAAAACAGCCCCAAATTAGTTGATCATTCATGAATGTGGAACAAATACATGTAGGAATACATACAAAAAGAGGTCAGCCTTGTTAAAACAAAGAACTGTAGTTTTACTTTTCTTCTTAATTGCACCATCAGAAATTAATTTTAAACAGTAGTTCTCCTTTAAGTAAGGGTATTATTTTAAAAGAGTGGCAAATTTTGTTACTCTGAAGCATCTGCAATATCTTAGCATTAATTGGATTTTATGCTTTTTTCATACACTAATAATATTCATAAGATTAGATGTGAGAAATACTTTTCTTAAGAAGTGGGAAATCCATGGTAGATTGCAGAATTAATCTAAAGGAAAATTTAAAAGAAAGCGTTTTCATTACTATAGTTATTTTCAATGATATGGCAAGTAAAAGTTTATATATAGCTTTTATTCAACCAAAACGTTGGGAAAATGTCCTGTGAACAAAGCAAGCTTTTGAAAGGTCTGGATTTGAGAACTTCATTTAAAGAGATCACAGAATGGTTTGGGTTGGAAGGGGCCTTAAAGATCATCTGGTTCCAACCCCCCTGCCACAGGCAGGGACACCTTTTTTTAGACCAGGTTGCTCAAAGCCCCATCTGACCTTAAACGTTTCCATCTTGAACACCAAACATGAACATCCAGACTTGAACATTCAAAGATACTGGGTTTCATGTCAGAAATTCCTGCCTCTCCCATTACTTACCACTGTTTCATAACTAGCAACCATTAGTGTGTCCCAGAAGCAGTTTTGTCAGCCCCGCTGCAGGAAGAGAGGAGGGAGCTGTGCTGCAAGAGTTCTGCACATGATTCTAAATCTTCATCCACAAAATCAACATCTGGTGACACCAGGGAGACTGCATGTGTGTATGCTTTACACACACAAGTGTTCCTGTCAGCATATCTGTGTACCTTAAGCCTATAATTTATACAGCATTTGAAGATCTCCAAATTTAAGTATTACCTGTACACCATGACTTACATTTTTTGGCTAGCAGTCAGGTATTCTGGAGAAAAGTGGCAACAATAATAATTGTTCTGAGGGTTCATCTGTGGTCTCAGCTGTACATAAAGGGCTGTGTGACTGGAAAAAGCCCCCTGTGCTTGAACTATCAGTAACTGTGGTTTGAACCTGGGTAGGAGTACTACTTGGAAAAAACAAAAATAACATGTTCTGCAAGTATCCCTTACAACAGCCAGGACACCTGCTGCTGTAGGAGTAACAGTTCTCAGCATTCGCTTTAGCTGTTTTCATATCATGTTATGTGTGATAGCATATGAGAGACTCCTCAACAACACTGACTGAAAAATGTAACAGGAGTTAAAGCAAAGCCTTAATTGCAATTGTGCCTGCCTCCAAACTATTTTAGGAAAAGAAAATATGACAGTCCTTTAATCAGACATCAAAATCCTTTACCAAGTTCACAGAACCACAGAATCAGTTAAGTTGGAAAACACCTTTGAGATCATGGAGTTCAACCCCTGACCGAACAACATCTTGTCAATTAGATGATAATGTCACAACTAGTCGTTTCTCGAATGCCTCTAGGGATAGTGACTCCATCACTTCCCTGGGCAGTCCATTCCCATGTTTCACAACCCTTTCTGTGAAGAAACTCCTCCTGACCTGAACCTCCCCTGGTGCAACTTGAGGCCATTTTCTCTTGTCCTGCCACTAGTTGCCTGGGAGAAGAGACCAGCCCCCACCTTGCTTTCAGGTAGTTGTAGAGAGTGATAAGGTCACCCCTGAATCTCCTTTTCTCCAGGCTAAACAACCCCAACTCCCTCAGCCGCTCCTCAGAGGACTTATAGGACTTAGATTTCGAGCCATAGTTGGAAATGTGTCTCCAGTATTCATCATAAAGATAATTACAGTTGTGAGAGGTGTTTTCTGAACTCTTGACACTTGCTAAGGTGGTGCCCATAGCACTACTTTGAAAAGTTACTCTTTTGGATTGGTCCTTGTCACAGGATCTCTAGCTCCCTGAGAAGCAGACTGTCATCATTACTTTTTTGGTTGTTCTTTGAGATCTGGAGGTAATTTTGAACATGATGCAAATGATCCCCATTTCTGTACTTCTCTGACTGCTCAGCTATAACAAATGTTGTCAAAGTGCCAGAGATGAGTTTAGGAACTCATGAGGATCTTGTACAGAGTCTGGGAGTTTGATTCCTGTTATCTGTTTGCCAAGTATTGTTAGGTTTTTAGTGGGAGTTAAATGCCTCTACTACATAGAAATCCACTGGATCTTGCACTTAATCTAGCAGTCCTGCAAGGTGTTCTCTACCTGCTGTCTCGGACAACAGTGAATTGTTTTGTTGATGCTTCGAGGACACTGGAGCAGTTTATTCTTGTCTTGTTTGCATGGTTTGTTGTAAATTGCAGTAAACTGCAAGACTTTCGTCAGTAGTCCCCTTACACATCTCAGATCAATCCCACTAGGCTTTTTTTGGTGTCACTTCTCCAGCTGATGGATCTCCTGTTGTGGAACACCCAACTTACCAAGCATAGTTACCATGGTATAGTTTTGCAAACCTTGAATCTGTCAGAGAATCTGATTTTTATCCTGACTTTTTTGCTTGCTTAATGAACTTGCAGAATGATAGCAGAAACAGTCATGGGAAAGACACTGTATCTGCAGTGTTTTTCAAAACACTCATGGTAAGAAAATGCATGAATGACAACAGTTTTGTTTATAAATAAAGACGCTCATCACAGAACTAATGTTGAGAGTTGGTCCCAAATGAAGTGGGATTGCAGTAAGTGTGAAGACCGAAGCTACCAGATTCCTGTCTGTAACCTTCCATCTTGTCCCCCGATCTTTACAGACAAAAGTTAAACCTGAAGGTGTAAGGCAATGCCAGAACTTACTGTTACTTGGCTTTTTGTTTACAAACCATTGCTGTCTAGCATTAGCTGTAATTGTAGGGGGGTGGGAGGGCAGAGGGAAAGGTAAGATTTACAGGTCTTGGGCAGTGAATCAGTGACCAGCCTCAAATGGTATTTGCAAAACTCTTCTGTGGGGGAACCATTCTTTAACTTGTTTGCCAGCAAGTACAATGCAAAATGTCAGATACTTCTTTTGGAGGCCACATTCCTGCAACGCTCTGTTCCTACCAGATGCCTTCTCTTGCTGTGGAATACACGCTTCTCTCTGTTGTTTGCCATCTGTGACTCTCAGGGTGAGTTTCAAGGTTAGAACAAAGTCAGGATTCCAGTAGATTTCTGTTGGCTAGGTGCCAATCTAGCTCTCAGCTGTACAATCTTTTCCCAGAGTTCCTAAACTACATTGTGATTAAAAGATTCAGACTCATGGTACCTTATGACCAGATGAAGAGCTTAGGCAAGGAGTTCTCCCTGCCACCATGGAAGTCCAAACACTGTATGGGAAAACAATTTTCAACAGGTTCTTCAAACCAGTTGAGAATATAGGGACAAACCAAGTGCTTAAATACAGCTGTCTCAGACTGTTGTCTCAAACTAGTCAACCTCCCACCGAGCTTTGAGGTGTGCCTCACAGCAGTTTCTGTTTCCATACCCTCTGTGCTGTCATACTTTTTCTTTCCACTCCCCTCCTCCCCACAGTATCAAATTTCATAGGAATACCAAAGCACGCACACTTTAGACATGTACCAATGCCTTGGTATGACATACTGACTTACATTAAACAGAATTCCTTGCACTTAGTAACTGGATCAACTTGGAGAGAATAAAATCTTAATGGCTGTATCATGCCAGTTAAATGAGATATCACAACACATATGAAAAGTACATTTTTTGTAGTACAAGTGAAAATGAAATAATCTGTGAGATGGAACAAGATAATTCTTATTTCCAAAAAGGAAAAAGTACTTGTGGGAAACAAGATAAACAGTATCATCTCATATTAGGCTGTTTAATAATCTTTTTTAGTTTGTGGCCTGGCAGCATGAGCCAAAATAATTAGATGGTTAAAAATCCCAACAGATTAAAAACTCTGTCTCCAGGAAAGTGAAGGAGATTAAAAAAAACCCAACAAAACGCTACCCTGTAAATAACAAAGACCACAGTCCTCTAAACTCCACTGTTTTGCAATATAGTTTGTGTAAGTAGCCCTTATAAAATTAACAGTACTTAGCCATCTTGGCAGTGTAACATTAAAACTAGTTTAAGTGGTGTTTAGCTTTGTTTTTGGAGGCCAGTAGTCTTGAATAATCCAGTGAGGAATTTCATGTGTCTGAGGTGATGTCTAAACCCTGCAGCTGGGCAGGGGGCCCCGTGTAGAAGCAGTGGAAAGGTGTTAAAGCATCAAATCACATGTGGCTGTGCTTGCTAGATTGGTGGGGGGGCAAATAAAGACTGAGTATTTGCCCTCTTCAGTCTGATAGGTAAAATTAGTTGCTAACTGTATGTAACTGTCTGGGTTACCAAGTTGTTGCTATGGCTGTCCTTGCTATATATATGAACAGCTTTACAGAATCTTATGCATGGTTTTCTAACAGATCTTTCATATATGTTGACTGTGATTTTTTTTTCCCCAATGCAGCATGATAAACCAGGTCTGCTGAGCATGGCAAATGCAGGACCTGGTACTAATGGCTCTCAGTTCTTTATTACAACTGTGCCTACTTCTCACCTGGATGGGAAACATGTGGTGTTTGGCCAAGTGATCAAAGGAATGGGTGTAGTTAAAATACTCGAAAACGTTGAAGTAAAAGGAGAAAATCCTGCTAAGGTAAACAAAATGCAAAGCACTGAGGGATGATGTTTATTATTCCATTGTACGATGCATATTCATTTCTTTTAAATGCTTGGTGTAATGTTTAAAAGTATTAAATGTTAGACAGCTGTTTCTGCTAACAGTGTTAATTTCCATTTTACTGTTCTTGTTAAGAGGCTTTTGTTCTTACACTCTAAATTTCCCCTGCACAAACAGTTTATTCTTCAACACAGCTGGGAGGGTGGAAGCCTTTGCTAGAAGTGTAGGATGGGTGATGAAATTAAAAGGTGGAATTCACAACCCTACCTTCTTATAAATTTTGTGTCAGAAGTCGTGTTTCTGAAAAAGCAATCAGTATGTAGGTCATGTCAGTTTGTGGGTGTTTGAAAAATTAATACTTCTGTAACTTTAAAAGACTTACTTGGCAGTTGAAGAAAGAACCATCGTCTCTAATGTAGTAGAACTTCCATGTCTTGTGTTTTGCTGTAGCTCAGCTTGTTGTCAGTTCCTCTTCCAGCCTCTCTGTGAAGCGTGGGTTTGGTGTTCTTGGAATGCTGCTCCTCTGAGCACAACACTTAGTGTGATAAAAGCCTTTTGATGAGGATAGGCTAATGATGTGATGGGCTTCTGAGACAAATGCACCCAAACAACAGATGAAAAAGCCTTTTTACTGAATTTCAAAAAATTTCAGAGAGCACTCAGAAGTTATGGCTTTTTTTTTTTTTTTAAATTGTCTTAATAAGCAGTACTGCTATTTACACTTTATTTTTTCAGTTGTGTGTCATTGCCGATTGTGGAGAGCTAAAGGAAGGAGATGACTGGGGAATTGTTCCCCAAGATGGATCTGGAGATGCTCATCCAGATTTTCCTGAAGATTCAGATATAGACTTGAAAGATGTAAGTATTTTTCTTCTTAGGTATTTTACAGAAAGCAAGACTTGTAGGTAGTTACATGGTGTCTCTGATGATGTTCATTAAGCTTTTTTCCTTAAGAATGGATTAAAGTCCTGATTAAACAGTAGTATTGTATTTTAGGAAAGAGAATGCTGTGGAGGGGATTGTTATCTCTTTTTTTCAGTGCTAATTGCAGCCGATTTTTTTCCCCCGTAACTAAAACCTCATTTACTTACAATTGTCACACTTTTTTTTTCTATTCTTGGTTTCTTTTTACTTTTGTTTGTGCTGTAGTGTCAAATTGCAATTACTAGAACTCCATCCTGCGGATGACTAATTTAATGTTGTACCTAAACACTTTTTCTGTGCAATATTTTAAACAACCATCTTTAAACAGACTTTGCCTCACTTCCTAGAAATTTTTCCTAGAAAACAGATTTTTACTGCATCAGAGCTAGTCATTCTCAGTTCCCAGTAGTTGTTTGCTTTTCAAATTGTTCAAACTGAAGGAAAGTCTATGGTTGGAATTTAGGGAGCAGACTGGTGAAAGCAGCTCATCTGCAGGATTTTACTCTTATCATGAAAGCGAACTAGACAAACTGTGTAAGTCAAACAGTGATTTGTGAGAGAGGAAAAAAGGGAGCTGCATGTATAGATTGCAAATACAGAATTACAAAATAGAATAGTAAAATCTCATTACAGTTAGAAAACAGGAACTCCTTGTATCTGGCTGTTGAGAAGCATTTCAGCTTGTGGAAATGTTTTTGGATAGCATTTGATGTGGTGCAGAATTGAAATTGGCAGGTGTCTGCGTCCTTTAACTTTAAACTTGTTCATATAAACCAACTACAGAAACCATGGTGACATTGGTCTCACTCTGTTCTCTTCAAGGTCATTATTTCTAGTAGGGTAGAAGTGTAAACTGATAGTATTACAAATGGCAATATATACATTTGACAGAGCTTAAGACAACTGTGTTACAGGCAGCAGTAATTACAGACTGTTTATTGCCACTGGAAAAGTAACTTCACAGAAGTGTATATGAGTCTGGAAATAGAAATGATGGATTTGATAAAGACAAGCAGTTGTTCTTTTTCTCCCTCCATGGTTATTTTAAGTGTTTAGGGAGAAGGAAAATTGTGTTGATATGAGTTCCTAGTTTAAGAGGGTGCAGATTTCATGTGACTGATACCATTTTGAGAAGCAGATAATATTTTCTCAAGAATAGGCAATCTTGGTTGAATACTTTGATTGTTAGCATATCTTCTTTTCTTTAAATAATGAATATGTGGGTAACAGCATTTAGGAGGAAGAGCTGAACTGCTATGTTGTCTCTGGTATTTTCTCACCTTTCATAGTGTAGAAAACCCACTAGGAATTTAATCTTTGAGACATTTGTGTTTCATAAAGTAGATAATATTATAGAAGTGGTTTGAAGCTGGTATTTGTCTAAAATTGGAGTATTTCTATTCTAAGGTTTTATAATTGTTGAAGGAAGATGGATGTGGGATCCTACTGTTAAGCATTAGTTACTTCAAGACTTCTTTCATAAACACATTCATACTGTATATTTCCCATCTATTTTATTAGGTTGACAAGATTGTGGCCATAGCAGAAGACACAAAGAATATAGGAAATACTTTCTTCAAATCGCAAAATTGGGCAATGGCAGCTAAAAAATATAGTAAAAGTTTACGGTAAGGCTATCATCACTCAATCAGATAGTTCCTGTAACCTAAATTAATACTGCTATGAAGCAATGATTTGTGCATTTAAAAAGTGCCTGTTGCATTGCTCTTCTCTTTTTTATATAAAGAGCCCTCTGAATCTGGAAAACACCTGGTTGATTTTTGGCTACTTACGTAGGTCTTCTGCTGATTGCTATGTAAGAGCTATAGGCAGAAGTATTGTTTCTAACTGACTAAATAGTCCTTTTTTAACACTCTTGCTGTGGTGGTGCATAACTGGGAAGAAAAGAACAATAGTATACAGAATAGTTAATGGATAGCAAAGGAGGGAGATACTTTTTCTCTGATTTCTAAAGAGCAGTAAGTTTAGGAAATCGGTAAGTTCAAAAGACAAATGTGATTCTTATCCATTCATTACTGTTTTTATTCTGAGGCTCCATACCATCATCCTGACTCCATGTATAATTCAGACTTGCTTTCAAAATCATGGTCTTTCTGCTTTTATTTCCATACTGCTCCTTTCTTCTTTCCAAGCTTTTTGCTTTCAGTATATGAACATCTCTTAAAAATAAACTGACCTTTGTCCCTGCCTTCTTAATGATCATTGGTAACTAGTATAATGATAAGGAAAGAAAAAAATTCAGGCATACGTAGTGCTTCAGCAGAGTTTTTAAGTGACTGGGTTTCAAATAAATTATGTCTTTCTGAAGCATAAAATGAATTCCTTAATTGCAGATATTAACCCAAGATGCAGTGTCTCCCACTGCCCTCAAAAGGCCCATCATAGACCAACACAAACCTTGAAGCAAATAGGATTTCTGTGCAAACCTTTTGGAAGTCATATATAAAGAAGGCTGGAATGGATCTTTAAGGATCTTTGTGTTGTATCTGTCTATTTTCTCCCCCCATACTTTGGTAAATACCAGGTATAATTATGCCATCCCTTACTATTAGTTGTCTTGCTCACTTTTAAGCACACCCAGTGAAGGCTCTTCCAGTTTGATCCTCTTAAGTGCTTATTTTTCCTTGTAGAAAGCATAGTAACTTTTCTAGACTAAACAAATCTGATCATTCCAACTCTTCTTTAGGGGGCCATACTTTTGTGGACACTCTGTTATTGTATCTTAAAATCTAATACTTCATGTAGGAATGGTGGACTTTAGCTGGCACTTTGCCAGAACTGATAGGAATAGAATAGCTCTTACCAGGGTGTCTCCAATGGCACATGTACAATTCGCCTAGCACACCATGGCTTTCTCTTTTTACCAATAGTAACCATTGTAGCCCCCTGTTCTTTTTCTTGTTTTATTGCTTCTTAGCCTTTTTTTTAAGTTTGTATGTATGAATTTAAACCTTTTTTGTAAAAAAAATCATTACTTCCTGTTGTCTCCCTTGATACTCATCTTACTAATTTCTTTGACTTGGAAGCTCTAATTTTGTTACCAGAATGGTTGCAGCCTTTGATGTTTTGGTGTGATTTATAAATATTATATTTGTGTTTTCTTTGTTTTGAACATAATACCGATTTGTGTTCCATTTCTCCTTACTTTTTTTTACTCTTTTCTCTCTCTTCTGTTTCTCATCTTTTGCATAATTCCCAGCAAGTGGAAAAAATCACTGGAACTACTTCTAATTCACTTTTTAAGTATTACTTATTTCTGTGATCCAAAGTTATATACAAACCATGTAACACTCAAAAGACAGAGCATGCAAAATTGAACTTACACAGGCATTGATCTGCAAAGGCTGCATCAATCATGGCGTGCTTAAAATGTGAATGTATGCAAGCACATGATTTTTATTTTTTTAAATAAAAGCTACTGAAGTTCTATTAAGTAGGCCATTAAAGAGTTGAGACTTCTGTATCCACAACAGACCTTTGCCACTTGAAATAAAAACCAGACAGCTGTAGTACATTGTAATTAATGAGATACAGTTTGCCTGTCAGTTTGCTTTTGTAAGAGAAATGCAGTAACTGCTGTGGCTTAATCTTGAACAAGTATCAGTTTTGAAGTTCAGGAAAAAAGTCATAAAGGAAAACAGTGGGAAGAAGGTGGTGTTACTAATGCTCATAAAACCATATTCCTGTACAAAGTAGAGTTACCTTCAGATTTTAACCATAAATGCCTAAGCTAATTAAAATATTACTGAGGGAACTGGAGATGAAGCTTTCCATGAATGTGGAAGGTGCAGCAGTGGTGTTGATTTTTTGGCTCTGATGAGCAACATGGTTTTTGATAATAAACTTACTGAAATAAATTCTAACAGTTTCCTGCTGTCTAGAATAGTACATTTGTCTAAGAAAATGCTGCTAGTACATGCTAGCAGCATGGAGGACTAGGAATTACAGGAAAACATTCACCAGTGAGTTGATCTTTTTCATCAGGGTGGGTTTTATGTATTTAGTTTAATAAACATTTGTAATAGTGGAATTGAAGCTGCTTTAGAAATAGTAGTTTGGATAGGCCAGTTTGCACATATCTGTGGAAAGATAGACAAGGAAGTTGAAAGTTGCAACACTAATACATGTTCTATGTGAATCTGTTTTTCTGCAGGTATGTAGAAGCTTCTGAAGCAGTGGCAGAGGAGGCAGACAAACCAAAGTTGAAGACTGTTGCTTTGACCTGTGTTTTAAACATTGGCGCTTGTAAACTAAAACTGTCAGACTGGCAGGGAGCCATTGAGAGCTGTTCAGAGGTAAATTTAATATTTAGCATTTTGATTAACATTTGGCCTAAATAGAAAAGGTAGACTGAAACTGCAAAGCTTTTTTAAGGAGTCTTCTGACAAGCTTACGATTTGAAAGTAAACAAAGTAGAAGCTCATTGTGAAGTTATTACTAGCTTTCCAGTATGTGGCTTTTTAAAAAGATTTTGAAATTGAAATGAATCATTAAACAAAGGAAAGAGGGCTGTTTCTTACTGTCATTGTCAGTTTGGTTTGCAGAACAAAGAGTTAAACTGTCTTCACTGAAAGGGGAGTACTTTTCTCTGGAAGACTACTATGAGCAAAATGTTCTACTTGCTTTTAGATTTGATGGTGTCATATTTTATTCATGAAAGTGACTTTTCTAACTAAGTAACTAACCTTTCAGGTAGGCTTAGTGGTGAAAAAAGTGAATAGGAAAAAAGAAAGAAGGTAATATAAATATGGAAAACCACTAGAATTGAAAAAAAAAGGATACAGTGAGAACTTAGTAAATTTAAGGAAACTTTAAATACTTTAGTAAAACTCTGAAATTTTGAAGGAAACAGAGGAAAGAACGCTCTTATCTGTTAGCAGAGGATCCTGAGCAGCATCTCCTAGCGCTTCATGCTGAAAGCAGGAGTCTCAGCTAATCTGTGCGAGAGCTCATTAGAGAGCTGGCTTGCTTTCTAACCTGCTGATGGTGTTACCACATGGAAAACTTTCATGAACCTATATTCACAATGGACAAATGAGGAATGAGGAAAGAAAAAAGAAGAAAACTGTGTAATGTGATACCTGTCACTGAGAAAATGGTAAAAATTAAAACAACAATTTAAGTGTTACAGATAGAAATTATTAATCATAATACTTGCCATTGTGGGAAGACAATCACACTTCCTTTATTTTTGAGATTAAATAATTGTTGGATATAGACAACTCCATAGCTGTAATAGACTTCTGAAAGGGATTTAGCTTATGTGTCACAATGTATCAATGTTTTAATTAGAGCACCAGTTTCCTAAAATTAGCTACTAAAGTTCTAGGTAATTGTTAGTGAGAAACTATACACTTTTATGATTTCTTAAGGCCCATAGGAATTTAAATTAACAACCTGTAAAACATGCATTTGTTGGTGTAAATAAGGAATTATGAGCAGCTGAGCCTGTTCAAACAAACCTTGCCTTGAAATAGTTGTAAGCACAATGGTCGAGGTAAAACCAAAGAATGCTACCTATGTGTATTCAACACAGACCCCTAATTCTTGACACAGGAGAGAGAGGCTGAAGGCTTTATAGCAGACTGATCAGGGAGAGTGCCTGGAGTAACACTTCCTTTGTATTAACAGCCAATACTGATGTGATTTAAAAAATAAGGATGTGTTGTCTAATGTTTATAATCCACATTAATGATTTAAAGTGAATAAATTAAATTAATAAAGTGACACATTTCTGTGAAGACATTCCCTCTAATCACTGAGAAACTATATTCTTTAAAACACTGTAGAACTAACTGCAGGAAGAATGTGATTTTCACAGGCAAGGTAACTGCTAGCTAGCCAAATTAACTGAGGTATTTTGAAAAAATAATCGAAGTAATCAAATAGTGGAACAATCTCTTTGTATTTCCTATTTTGATATTGTCATATTAGAGCTGGCACATACACATTATCGAAAACATTAATCTCAAAAAAGGCGTAATGACTGGAACTTGGCAAGGTTCCTGAAGCATGATGAAATGGATTGCCTGCATGTGTCTTTCTAGCCTACAGGGAAAAAAAGCTTTACAGGAAATCTGTGTTTTATTTATGATGTCATTTGAGGTTTTTTTGGTGTGAAGGAAGGAGCTGCAATATAGAGTTGTATGGTGAGACTCAAGGTTAGGATAATTTGAACTGCAGCAGCTCCTCAGCCTTGACAGCTAGCTATATATACACACACACAGCTGTTCCATTTTAGCCTCCTGTGTGCTCATCCTTCACAAAAGACCACTTTTGGTGCAGTGGTATTGAAGCCGCTTAGCTAGATATTCAGTGTGCTGCATTACAGCATTCCTTTTTATACAGTTAATGTTTTGACAGTTTACCCTCAAACCAACTGGGAAGATTGTCTGCTGGTGTGAATTTTGCCATTTGTGGAGATGGGAGGCTGTGAAGTATAAGAAATGTTAATGTGACAATTTTATTAAATTTACAGGCTCTTAAAATAGATCCTGCAAATACTAAAGCTCTCTACAGACGGGCCCAAGGATGGCAGGGAATAAAAGATCTCGATCAGGCATTGGTAATGATCACCTTTTTTTTTTTCCTTAAATCTAAAAATTTCATCAGACCATTAATTTATATTTCTCTTTTATTGAAGGCTGATCTTAAAAAGGCTCATGAAATAGCCCCTGAAGACAAAGGTAAAATAAAACTGTTTCGTCATAAAATCTGTTAAGAATTTAACAAAGTATGCAGGGTAGTATTTAGTAGGAATTTATACCAGCGTGATGCCTAAAATGCTGGCTTCTTAAACACTGATGTATTGAGCACAAAGCCCACTGAGGTGGAAAACCTGGTTTTATACAGCAAGTGATGCTTCTGTTGCACTGGAACACCTGCTTATGTAGGTCAACAGCATTCCTCTTGAACCATGTCCCTATCTCTCAGGGCTCTTACTAGCTTAGTTTCCTGGTCAAAGTGGGTGAGATTTTTAGCTCATAAATTCTGTGTCGGCACCAATACTGTGCTTGCTATACACTCCTCTACGTGGTGACCTTACCAGATAACACAGGATCAGGGACAAGGCTTTTTGCTGCTACTATCTGACCTAATCCAAGGTTGAATGCAGTTTTATTAAATGAAATAACGTAAGTTCGCTCCAGCATTGTGACCTGGTCTTAACCTATTAGGAGACCTAATGTAAGTGATTACTGTAACTGTCATGATTTTTCTTTTTAATCAGCTATCCAGACAGAAACACTCAAAATCAAGCAGAAGATAAAAGCCCAAAAGGAGAAAGAGAAAGCAGCTTATGCTAAAATGTTTGCTTGATTTTTTTCCTAAACATTTAAATCTATGCACTAACTCATGCAAAAGGATAAACGGAGCTGCTTCTTTCATTTGCTCTCTGCTGCAGTTTTCAGTGTTTACAACACAAAAAGTCTAATAATAAAGACAAACTATTCAAAGATGTTGTGGTTTTCTTTTTTTTTTTTCAGCTTGTGTTTTGCAACTCAGTACTGGTTGTGTTTTCCCAGCTTAATAATGCTTCCTAAGAAGCACCTTACACTAAGACGATTTAGGCATTTTCTTAGTAGAGTTTTTATTAGAGAAGGCCTGATTTCTTGTAAGGAATAAAAATGGTAGACATAGAATGAAGGTGCAAGTATTATTTTTTTTAAACCACATTACAGGTTGTATTCCCTATTAACATCAGGAAAAAAAATCTAACTGTAAATTTGATGTAAAATGTGTAACACTTAAAAGCACTGACAATTTTCTAGACTGATGTATTTCCCGTTCTGTAAGGTAGGATTACGTATAGTAAATCACTCCAGCTAGAGAGAGAAAAAACTTTTAAGGGTGGGTACTAAATTCTTCCATTGTAAGCACAATTCTGGATTTGGCTTGTTATCACTGAACTTCAGCAGTAAATCCAAGATCCGAAGTTCCTTTATCAGTACTAAGAAGAACTTAAGTCTTCTGGCCTGCCATACAACTCCTGTAAAGAAGTCCTATTTAAATAAGGCTAGGGTTTAATCAGAAGGCACCAATTTTCCATTTAATGCAACAGTCATGTGTAAAATCCAGAATGGCATATTAGTCTCAAACTCTTAACATTCGAGTCAGTGCTGTACATAAATTACACTGCAGCATAAAATACTCCAACATATTTGTTGGCGATCAGAAGTCACTGAATATATGTGTCAGTTTACATCCCGTTATAAGCTGGTCCTCCTCCACCTTCAGGCACTACCCAGTTAATGTTCTGACTTGGGTCTTTAATATCACATGTTTTGCAGTGGACGCAGTTCTGAGCATTTATCTGCAGCCTTGATCCTTCTCCTGTTTCCAGAGGAACAAACTCATAGACTCCTGCAAAGGACCAAAAGAGCTATCAGTTCACTGAACAGTTTCCCCCTCCGTGTATGCTCTAGTACTTATCAGCAAGTATAATGAGGGATGGATATTACTAGTGTGATTCAACTGCCTTCTTTCATGTTTAATAGTTATTTCAGTATGAAAGTACTGTTAACATACTTTACAACCTGCACTTGAACCCCATTCTAGGAGGAGGATTGGGATAGAATGCTTGAAGTAGTAGGCCACATGGACTCTTCCTGAAGTACTTAGTCTTTGATCTTGCAAAAACAGCTGAGACAGTTTGTTACCTACCTGCTGGACAAAATCTTTGTTCTGGTCCATCAAATACAGCCAGATTCTTGCTCACAGGGACGCTGTCATCTTTGAGAGTTAAATGTGCAGGTTGGTCATGTTCATGGTTTGTACCACTTAAAGCCACAGATGACAGGAGATCAAAACTGATTTTTCCATCAGGCTTTGGGTATTCAATAGGTGTGCAATCTTTGGCTGGCTTGAGCTGAGCAAAATCTGGTCCTAAATATATTTTTAATAAATAGATTTCAGTACAGAATTACTGTAATTTTCAGTTACTCAAGAACAATTTTACTAAGCTATTTTCTCTGCCATCAGAATTAAGTACTTCATAAAAGATAGTATAGTTTTTGTCTCATGAAAAAGGCTGTTATACTAGGCAGTGTTTTAATGTCTTAATTTACATTATATGGTAGGTAATATGACAAAGTCTGCTTTAATGCCTTATAATCTGTTTCTTTTCTGCACTTCAAGGCCTCACCACTGGACCAGATGTGCATTAGCTTCAATGAAATTACCTGGATGTTTTAATGTCCATGGTTCCATTCCTCTCAGTAGCCAGTAAAATATACCCGTGTAAATCATTCCTCCATACACACCAAGTACGGTATGGCAGGATGGTCGGATGTTTCTAACCGCATACAGCTCTTTCCAGACCCAGGACTTTTTCAGGTTCTCCTCATACTCTTGCACATGAAGTCCTAAGGCAGTACATTACGTGTTAGGTACCTACAGTACATCAAGACTATCCTTGAAATAAAAAAATAAATTCTGAATAAAGGCAACTGCTAGCAATCAAGTCAGCAAAATGAGAATTTCAGAATCATATTCTAGGAGTATACTAGACAACATGTTTCAGCCTCATGAAGAGATCTGTTTTGTTGGCAGGTATCTACTGCTCCTTTTAGAAGCCTCTTAAATGAGCCACAGGCAGTACTGAATTACTTCAAACCTCCACAAAATATAATCAGCCAGGTGGCTACATTGGTGCCTCCGTGGAAAAACAGCTCTCGCCCTGAGCACTGACCAGGAGCATTTACCTGTGATCTAAAGCCAGGTTTGCAATTCTAATGTCAGATTCAATATCTTCTTCCTTAGAAATTCTGCAACCACAAACACTCCCATTTCAGTAACTATGCCTATGGCCCACTGCATGAACTAGTGCTAGAAAACTTTATTTCTCCCTTTGTAATCAACACATTAATGAGATATATTTGACTACAAACTCTTCGATTGTATTTTTTACAAATACTAGACACTGGACACTTGACACATCTACTGCAGTGTAGTTAAAAGTCATGTAATTATCTTGGAAAAAAATTTTTCTTCAAATGAAAATTGAGAGCTTCCCCTTCACTATTCTCCATTACTACTGTATAGGAATAAATGTTCTAAATAACCAGTTTTAAGCCTTGTCTATACATGAAAAACATGCTTCAGTCTGTATTTCCCATCTCATACGGCTCTGAAGAAAGCCCATTATCTCTGCCAAGTGAAGCAAGTATAATATTCCAGTCTTGACAAAAGTGGAAAACAGCATATAAAACCTGTCCATAATCACACAAGACTGGCACACTACCCATCAAGAATGTTGATAGTTTCAGATGGATTCTAAGCATTTTAACCTGTCTAGCAGAAGTTTTAATTGTACAGCATACCTTCTGTGTATGGCATGTTTCAGCTGAATGACATGAAAGCTCATGAGGTTTGAATGCGTCAGTACAGAGAAGAGATTTCTAATATAATCATTGTGTGGCACCTGGCTATAGTGTCCATCTCCAGAATGACTGAAATTCTAATTCTCTCTATGTACAGTCTTTATTAACATATGTAAGGGTACAACCAAGGTTTAAACTAGTCACTACAAGGTGGTCAGGACCAGGTGGTTGTTTCAATGTGCTTGCATTATGTATAAAATGAAATACACAGTCTCAAACTGAGACAACGATAAGATTAAGACAGGAAAAAAGGACTGAATGAAAAAAGCATCTTAACAAGAGTGAAGAGCAAATTTGAAAAATCTCACCTTGTTTTGCTTACATTTAATCTGTTCCTTTTTTTATCTCTCCGCAGTCTTTCAGTAACACTTTCTGAATCATAAAGCACTAATTTTTAACATGTTTGTAGAAACAAAATATATTATTCTTGTTTACTTATACAGGAAGCATAAGCTTTTCAGATGGTACTTAGAGGTGTATTTTTGTTCTAGCAAACAGTAGGATAAGTACTTAAGAATAACTGAGCAAAACTGTATTAATTTCTTTCTTTTTTAAATCATTTAACATTATTAATAGTAAATTAACAATAGATATATTTTAAACACACCTATTAGCCACATTGAGTTACTGCTGTTAGCTGTTGGTAGTTCTAATTGAACGCAAGGTAATTACAACTCAAAGTACAGTGATCTTACCTATTGTCTTTGATTGGAGATTTTCATTGATTAATTGACTAAAAATTGCTTCTGAAGCCAACATGCCACTTTTCATTGCAGTATGTGTCCCTTTGATCTTAGGAACATTCATGAGTCCAGGACTGCAACCAATTAATAATCCACCTGGGAAGGTGAGTTTGGGTATTGACTAAAAACAGAAAGAAAGGTGGTTGGTTTGTTCTTGTTTTTTAAATTGAAAACAACATTCTAGAAATTAAAATGGCACAAGGCTTGAGTGTCTTTTACATTTTCACACTTGCATGTGCACTATTTAAACATACACCAGAGATACTCCATCAAGGAATTTTAGCATAGTATTCATATAGGAATGCAGGCATTGTACCTGCACTGAGTGTGACAGAATGACATTTTCCTTATATCCTCTCTCCAGCTGCTTTATCTGCAACAAGACTCGGGTAATGTCACCCACTGATACTGTTTTGTCCTTCAAGTGAATTCTTTTTAAAAAAAACCCAAAACAAAGAAACCTCATTTGTTTCCCCGATTTTCACATAGTAAGTTGTACACATCTTACCTCACAGTGCCTTTTTTCCACAAATCTTGTTCTATGAAACCGCATGTTCTTGTTCTATGCCCTGCCTGTCCTCCTCCCCCTTATTTTAGAAGTTGCTCAGCAGCCAACAAATGTATTTTGGTGTAAAATCATCATCTTACTCCCATTCTGTAAGCATAATGTCATTGAGTACAGTCAATTCACAAACCTAAGACAGTCCTATGATTTGCAAATACCATGTCTGTACTATTAATATACTATGTTATACACCTATATTAAGGAATACCTTAATATCAAGGTAGTTATTGTTACCCTCATCCAATGAGACTAAGATTTTAGACAGGGACCATCTTCAAAACATGGACTGATAGCAGTACTTTTTAGCAGAAAGCAGTGATCAAAGCCTCAGTCTCAAAACTAAAGCTAAGTTTTGAACACAGCCTTCCTCCAAAGTCTTTAGTATACTGAGCAGTGCTTATGAATCTAGCATCCTGCTTTTATTAAAACTGCCTGAAAGAATTAATTTTGTAATGGCCTAAATAACTTGACCCCAAACAAGTAGTTTTATTTAATGAAAAATGTTCAAAAAAATATATCCCTCAGAATTCAAGATAACCCAAAACAAAAATTTTGTTTCCTTCTGCTTGTTCCGTTGTTACCTGCTTACTATTCACCCAGGACTGCTTACTTTTAAATAGTCATACAGGAGTCTCTAAAAAACCATTGTACTACACAGCATTTCATTGCTGTGATTGTGTTTTGCACAGTTTGTTTAATCACAGACTTAGTGCTCTGGTTCATAGGAAAGGTAATTTAGGCTGAAAATACAATTACAAATTACAACTT